TCATCTGCTGAGCCTTCTCTGCTTGAATGGTAGTGACTTCCTGGAGCACTGTCGAGAAGGATTCTGAAGTTGCGTTCTGGCTTCTTGGAAAGGTGCTGGGATTGGCTGGTGATGCCTGCCATGGGTGCTGCTAGCTGGGAAGTCATAATATGTAATATCATATATTTGCCATCCCTGCTTCGACCTTGTGTCTGGGGGAACATTTGGCATTAGAGCAGCTGCCTCTAAGGACACCAGGCCCCCTTCTGAAGAGACCACGAAGCTAGTAGACCAATTTCTTATTTGGCTCAACTCCTCCATTCAGTACTGGGAACCTATTCGTGCCAAGTTTCGTCTTCAGTCTTAGGGTCACAGGGCTGGAGCAGACGTTTCCAGAAGCTCACAGTCTAGTGGAAGAGAGAGGAGTGGAACCACAAAACTAGAAAGCAGGACCAGAAATGTCTCTGTCCTCCAAAGAATAAACACAGTTCCTCGGGAATTAAAAGGAGTGGATATGAATTCGCTTGCAGTCGAGCTGAAAAAGCCTCCTGAAGACAGTCTTCAAAGGGCAGATGTGAAATATTTGGGTTCCCCAAAAGCTTTTCATGGGACTCCTGCCTCGAGTGGGCTGGGAAGCATTTCTGGGAATTTCTTGGAGAAAGTTCGCTTGGGCCATTCCCACAGGATGCCGACTTAGTGTGCTCACTTAGAATGAATGTCGGCCGAGCGCCACGGGGGACTAGCTGCTGCGGAGGGTGTCTCTCTGGAACCCCCGCTTCCAGGCTCACCTCAAATGTGTGCAAATGATGCGTGAGGACAGTGTGCCCGAGCATGGGCATGTGAGTCCTCCGCTCAGAGCTTCCTTTATTCCTTTCTTCATTCGTGCAACGGGTGTTTACTGAGCATCTACTATGTGCTCTATACCAGCGCTGATGTCGAGTGATCAAGGAGGGTCTCTCTGATGAGGTGCCATTGCAGCAGAGAGCTGAGTGAGCCTTCAGGCAGAGGGCACGGCGGGTGCAAACGCGTTGAGAAAGGACCATTAGGGGAACAGCAGGTGTGTCTGGACTGGAGCATAGGAGGGGGTAGGCAATGAGGTCACAGAGGCAGGGGCACCTGGCCATGGCAGGGTCCTCTAGAGTAACGTGGTAGGGAAGGTCTCTGATAAGGCGACAGGGGGCAGACGCCTGTGTTAAATGAGGGAACAAGGTATGAGGCTCTCTGGGGAAGAGACTTCCGGGAGCGAGATCAGCAAGTGCAAAGGCCCTGGGGTGCGAATGTGCCTGGCATGTTTGAGGAGCAGCGGGGAGACTGGGGAAACTGGGGTGGAGGGGTACGGGGTGAGCATGGGAAAAATAGAGTTCCAGGGGTGGATACTGGCTATCATGTAGGATAAGGGGGTTGGATTTATTCTGGGCAAGAGGGGAGCCACGGGAGATGGAGGGCGAGGACAGACAGGATCTGATGGGGGGATGGGAAAGGCAGCAGAAAGACCAGCACGGCAGTGGGACCCATCTCTGCCCTGGAGTGGCCAAGCCCAGCTTCTGATCAGAGCACATTTCAAGGGGGCCTGAAGGATGCCTCCAAGACTCTTTGCCAGGCTGGGCACCCAAAGGGCAGAGCAGAGAATGAAGGCTGGCCCCCCTTCCGGGAGGGAGGCCTGCAGGCAGCGGTCTCTTGTCCAGGGCAGAAGGATGTTCTCACTCAGTCGGAGGAAACAGCGCATCCCACATCAAAAGGGGGCCTGGGTGGCTCCCACGCTCAGGCATCGTGGGAACCCTGATACCCTGGGTTCTCGCAGAGGGCCTGCAAATTAAGAGGGGCTGGGGGCTGCCTCGGGACTGTCCCCCAGCTTGCTGATGGGTAAACAAAAAACAGTCTAACTGTCATGCCCTGCTCACAACCCTCTTCCCAGCAGCAAGACTGACTTTTGTAACCCAGAGCTCTGTGGTGTTTAAGGGGTGCCAGGACTTGTAGGGCAGCTGAGATGTAAAACATTCTCTTTTGGGGTTCCGCACCCCACCCCCGCGACCTAACTCCCCGGCCAAAGGCTCAGCAAGGCCAGGGTCATGAGCTGGACCTGACCTTAGGCTTTCTATAGACCTGGGGTAACATTCCGTCTTTACTGATCGGTAAAGGCCGCCCTGAGAATTGGACTCAGCTTAAGAGCGTGCTGTGATGGATTAGTGATATCTGCTGCAGGTAGGAGACAAGACGTGGTGACATGCATGCTAAAAAGTTTTCTTTCCATCCACTTTCCAGAGAGCCCTGGAGAGAAGGAGGGGTGTTTTCTCATGAGACAAAAGGGAAGGAAGGGCGTGGGGAGACCTAGGTATGATGAGGACAATAACCGTCTGTCTACACTAGAAGCGTTTTCAAGGACAAGACAGGGAAAAGGAGAAGGTTGAGGTGCATGCCGCTCTGCTTTCCTGTAAGAGTAGGGGGAGGGATGAGATTAGGGTAGCGACACCCCCAGGAAGGTCCTGGAGGATTCCGACAGACCCCGAGAAGGCTCAGATGGACACAGCCCCATCTCTTGGGTCCCCGCAGGCTGTAGTGGAAATCAAGACCTCAGCCCTGTACCAAACTGAGCTGTACATGTCTTAACTCATTGAACTCTCTCCAGACTCTATTCCATACAGATAGGGAAACTGAGGCACGGCACCTTTCCCGCACATACACCTCAACTGACCAGGCTTCCCCATTGCACCTCCCTCAGAAGCTGGGTTCTGTGATGCCAGGCCACCAAAGTGTTTAGGAACCCAGACATCTGCTTCAGATGCCACCCTCGGCCGGGTCTGGGAGGGGTGCCCAGTGGACCAGATTAAGGCCGAGGAGCCACAGAGCGGAGGGGTTGTGTGTAGTGTGTGTGTGCGTGTATTATTGTGCACGTGACCCCACGTGAAGGGTGGGCCTCCCCAGCCGAGCATCTGTGTGTCATTGTGGGAGTGCAGGTCATAGCGTGCCTGCTCATGTCCCCATGTGCGGATGGCAGGGTCTCTTTGCAGGTGCAGAGTGTTGGGTGCTTGTGAGGACAAAGGCACATTTCCCCCGAATTTGCTGTCAGCTTTTCCACAGCAACGTGTGTGTGGGGTGGGATGGGGTGGGGGGGTGGCAGCTGCGGCCGGCGGGGGTACCATTCTGCGTGAGCTGGTTTGTCTTGTCCAATAGAGTGCACGTGTATATCTGTGTGTGTGGTGTGCTCCCTAGAGTATGTGTGTGTGTGTGGGGGGGTATTTTCCACACAGAAGTGTGTGTGTGCCTGAATCTGTGTGTTCATGAGTGTGCTCCCTGAGAGGTGTGTGCGTGTGTGTGTGAGTGTGTGTATGTATCTTTGTATGTATGTGTGCATGGTATGTGTTCCCTGGAGTGTGTGTTTGTGTACCTGTGTGTATACGTGGGGGGAGGCATGTTCCCAGGGGTGTGTGTCCGTGCAGTCTTCTATCTATGTGTGTGTCTGTGTACTTGTGCATGTGGTGCATTCCCCAAGTATGTGTGTGCATGTATATAGAGTATACATTCCCCGTGTGTGTGTGTGTGTGTGTGTGTGTGTGTGTGTGTGTCTGGACTCGCTGCGACAGCACCCAAGCCTGCCAAGAGTATTTGCTTAAAGACACTTCCCAGCCACCTCCCTGGTACTGACTGTGCCTGCCAGGCGCAGGTGACCAGGCTCAGTCCTTAGCAGGCAGGCAAAGGGGGCTGTAGCAGTTCCTTCGTCAGCTGTCACTGCCCCCATCCTTTCCTGCACCCCACTGTCCCCTCAGGCTGCCCCTGGCTTTCAGAACACTCATCTTTCTCAAAATTTATCTGCCCAGGGCTCCGTGCCCATCAACAGCCAAGCACTGAAGTCACAAAGGCTCAGGCAGGCACGCCATGCAGACCACAGCAGGCTTTCTCAGTCAGCTCTCTCGACAACCTCCTGGGGGAGATATTGGTATTGACCTCATTTTACAGAGAAGGAAACTGAGGGTCACAGAGGTTAAGTTACTTGCCCCAGTTTGTCACTGGAATATTTTCATGGTTTCCTCTCCGAGGTGGAGAGAAGTCATACCGTGACTTAGTGGACCGAGGTGTGGAGAGATGAAACTACTCATCCAAGGTGACACAGTGACGGTGATGATGGTGACAATGACAGTTAATGTTATATAGCCTTTATTAGGTACTGGCCATGGGGCTCGGCCCTTGACATGTAGAATTTCATTGACTCTTGACAGCAAACATAAGGGAGGTGCCACAGTATCCCATTTTACAGAAGAAACAGTCTTATGAGAGGTGTGATCATGTGCTGGGTGTCACCCAGCTGGTTAGTGGTTTAGCTGTGGTATGAAAGCGTCTCTGGCTGATTCCAAAAGTCAGAGCCCTTTGTGGGGAGGGCAACAGACGAGGGGAAGCAGACTGCATTTTCCTAGGGCCTCTTCATCTGAAGAGAGGACAATGCCTTAGTCACAGGAACTGACATCAGCGGATATTGCAGAGGAGGAATCATGTTTGTCTTCACGTCTTCGGAAAACCTGGGTTTACCATCGCTAACCATATTTCCTCATGCAGGACCGAGAGCCTTTAATATGCTCACACAGGTTGTGAATTTTCCAAGAGGGAGACATTGAAGTGTTTCCTAACTTATTTGATCCCCGAATCCTCCTCTCCCAGAAACTTTTATGGGGACTAGTGCTCCATATAGCAAATTTCGACAGAGGCTGGAATGGCTAAATCACTAATAGTTGGGTTTCTGGCACAGCAGCCATTGGAACCCAGGTGCTGTGGAATGGGGGCGTTGGCGCTAAGCCTAGGGGTCCATTCCGTTATAACCGGAGTGAGGTCCTGGTCTCCCGCACCCTATGACAGAAGGATGTCAGAGTAGGAATTCGAATTCCCTGGAGATCATTCTAGAGGACCGCGACTGGCACAAAGGAGTCAGGCTATGCCCAGGAGCCAGAGCCAGAAGGCAAACCAGAGTCCCCTGATTCTCTGGTGGGGGAGGGGCTGGAATCCACCTGTGGCCTCTTCTCTTCTCCCCTCAGGGTCCCCGCGCTCCCGGTGAAGAACTTGAACGGTACCGGGCCGGTCCACCCGGCCCTGGCAGGTGAGGTCTAGGCCAAGACAGGAAAGATGGGCGGGACCCACAAGGAGGCGGCCCCACCTGTCCGCCCCTGGGGCTGAGGGGTGGGGCTCACCCCACACACGCACCTGAGATCCCCAGAGAACAAGTGGGCGGGGTCTGGGGAGAGGCCCATGGGTACACCCAATGACGGGAGGGTGGGAGTGGGTGGTCGCTCCGCCCCTAACTGCCCGGACCACGCCCCCAGGGATGACCGGGATCCTGTTGTGTGCCGCTGGGCTGCCCGTGTGCCTGACGCGGGCCCCCAAACCCATTCTGCATCCGCCGCCCGTGAGCAAGAGTGACGTCAAGCCCGTGCCCGGCGTGCCTGGGGTGTGCCGCAAGACCAAGAAGAAGCACCTCAAGAAGAGTACGCCTTCCACGCCCGACCCTCATCCCTGAACTGAACCCCACTAACCTTTGGGCCTAACCCCTCTGTCCCCTTCCTCCAATTTGTTCTTGGGACTTAGGACCTCACCTTCATTCCCTGACCCCATCTGCAACCAACTCCGATTACATCTCCGATAACCTGCAGCAACCCTTGACATTTGACCCCTGTCAACCCCATCTCTCTGACCTCTGACCCAGTCCCAAGTCAAGCCTTTAAGAGTAGACCCTTCATACCCTCAAGCCCAACCCCCTGTGCCCTTGCAGGTAAGAACCCCGAGGATGTGGTTCGAAGGTACATGCAGAAAGTAAAGAACCCACCTGATGAGGTGAGTCCCAGGGGACAGAGGGCCGGCCTTGCCTGCAAAGATGAAGAGCCCTCCCCTCCCCTCCCCTTCCCTCCCTCCCTCTCCGCTGCTCTCTTCCCCCCTCCCTTCCCCCTGATACGAATTCCTTGTGGTTTTGCTACAGTCTCTTCTCCCAGTTTGTGGGGTTGCTTTTCCACTTTCTTTACAATGTCTTTTGATAGACAGAAGTACTGAAGTTTAATAGAAGCACATGTGTCAATCTTTTGATGATTGACCATTTTCGTATCTTATTTTCACCCATATTTTTTAAGTTTTGCTTTTTTTTTTTAAATTGAATTTATTAGGGTGACATTGGTTAATAAAGTTTTGCTTTTGATAGTTCTTTAAGCCCTCTGGAGGGGGCGTGAGGGAGCTGTATACCTGAAATCGGTACATGGGGAAGTCTTTTCCCTGTGACAGACGGGTGCCAGAGAGGGGGTGGTCTGATGCCCTTGGGGGCCTGGGGGTCTGGCCCTGCTGCCCCCAGGGCTGCCCCCTCCCAGCCCTCAGTCTCCCCTTTTGTGCCCACCCTCAGGACTGTACCATTTGCATGGAGCGGCTGGTGACGGCATCCGGCTATGAGGGTGTCCTTCGCCACAAGGGTGTGCGGCCAGAGCTCGTCGGCCGCCTGGGCCGCTGCGGCCACATGTACCACCTGCTGTGCCTCGTGGCCATGTATTCCAATGGCAACAAGGTAGGCTGGGGAGAGGGGGGCAGTGGGTGGGGAGCAAGCATGGGAGCCGGGCAGGGCTGGACACCTGGGGACCTCACCACCAGCCTCCCCTGCCCCAGGATGGGAGCCTGCAGTGCCCAACCTGCAAGGCCATCTACGGGGAGAAGACGGGCACTCAGCCGCCCGGGAAGATGGAGTTCCACCTTATCCCCCACTCTCTGCCCGGCTTCGCTGACACCCAGACCATCCGCATCGTCTATGACATTCCCACAGGCATCCAGGTGAGCCCCCTCGGGCCCCCAACCCCAACTCCTCTGACCCCTCCAGAGGCCCCCCACAGCTGTCTGTAGTTCAGGCCCCTGCCGTTCCTCCCCGCAGGGCCCTGAGCACCCTAACCCAGGCAAGAAGTTCACTGCGAGAGGCTTCCCGCGCCACTGCTATCTGCCCAACAACGAGAAAGGCCGGAAGGTGGGTGCTCTCTCGTGAGGGTGCAGGGCTGCAGGCCAGGGCCCCAGTCACTGTCAGCCTGAGCCTGTGGTCCCAATTATCCCAGTCCCTGCTTTCACGTTCCTACCCGCACCGGCACTGACCCTAACAACCTAGTACGTGTCTCACCCTGCCAGGCACTGCTGAGGTCAGGGTCTTGGCTCCATTTTACAGATAAAGAAACAGAGCCTCAGAGCAAGTAACATGCTCTTGGTCACGCGGTAGAGCCAGGATTTGAACCCAAGTAGTCCAGGCTTTCCACCACCACACTATAGATTTTTTTTACTTTTCGGTTTTTGAAAGAAGCCAGAAATTCTGATTTTCATGTGAAATCTCCAGGTTTTTAACTATTGCCAACGAAGTCACAAAGTGGCTATTTAATACCGTGTGGGGTCCAAACCAAACACAGCGGAGGGCTGTCGGTTTGCGAGCCCTCTTTTACCCCAGAAGAAACAGGCAGATAACTTAGAAAGAGCTTGTACTGGGGCAGTCAGTCCAGAGTAGGAAGTGGCCAAGCCTTGCAGCCCCGGGGTATCCTGAGGGGCTCATTAGCTCCTAAAGGAGCCACAAAGTGGTGGTGGGGCGGGGCCAGGGGCGAAGGCTGGGCTGGAGGGGCTCAAGCAGTGGGCGGGGCTGCCTGTGACCCCGCCCGTCGCCCCGCCCTCCAGGTGTTGAGACTGCTCATAACCGCCTGGGAGCGCAGGCTCATCTTCACCATTGGCACGTCCAACACCACCGGCGAGTCGGACACCGTGGTGTGGAACGAGATCCACCACAAGACTGAGTTCGGATCCAACCTCACGGGCCACGGCTATCCGGACGCTAGTTACCTAGACAACGTGCTGGCCGAGCTCACGGCCCAAGGCGTGTCCGAGGCCGCAGCCAAGGCCTGAGGCCCCAGGCTGCCCAACTTCCCTCCTGCTTTGCCCCTGGTCCGGCACATGCCTCCCTCCACCAGGTGTGTCCTGGTGGCCCAGGTTCAAGGCTGGAGAGGAGCCTGCGGAAGGAGCCGGAAGCGTTCCGGATGTTTGGTTGGTGGCCGTTGGGAATGATCAGAGGATGAAAGGCCAGCGGGCTCCGACCTGTAGCTCCCTGAGAAGGTCAGAGAGAGAGTACCGGAAACCACAGCGACCTCCCTACCAAAAAGACAGAGCCCCACCCCACACGCAAACACACGTGTCCTGATGAACACATGCACGCACACCCACGTGCCTCTACCTACCCCCGACCCCCGGGGGGAGGAGACAGGAGACCCCTGTGGATCCATGTGGATCCCACCTGTGGCTCTATCGCATCTGTACAGGCTTGTCTGCCAGCAGGAAGATTCAGGTCAAGCTTTAGGGGCCTGCTGGGACTCCTGGGGGAAACTTAGGAAGCTCAGTGTACCCCCATCTCTATCACCAACTGATGGGCAATCGTGGGCCCACGAGGTGGAAGCCCCCAGATTGAGCAATTTTGCAAAGGGACAGGCCAGGGAGAGGGTGACTAGAGGTATTTTGTGCTTGTGTCTCTTCATCCTTTGGGACACCGACCCCCTCCTTCTCCCCTCCCATCCCCAGGCCTTATGTCTGTCCCAGATAAAGGCACTGTTCCCCTTTTCTCCCCATTCCATCCTCTTCATCAAATCGCTCCCAAACGTCGAGATCCAAAGGTTGGAGCCTCTGGCTTCAGGAGTGAGACGAGGAGGCCTAGCTTAGGCCGGCAGGTCTTAAAAAGCAGACTGGAGAGCAAAGAGTCCATTTCCCTTACTTGGGAGTGGGCCGCAGGGTGGCTGATGGTCTCGGCCAACCAGGGGCCTGTTGCCCAGGCAACTCACCAGCTCCGCCTCTGTTGATTGGCTGCCACGGTGGAAGTCAGCCAAGATTTAAAAGGACGCCAGCGATTGCTCTTTTGAAAACCTACCAGTCCCACTGTGGGTGGAGAAATAAACGGTCTTTCTCCTCCTCTCCCAGTCTTTTCCTGCCAAGAAGCGGGGAGCGGGTGGCTGTGCCTGGGGGCCTTCCGTTTGTCCCATCAAGGAGCACGTGACAAAATGACCACCCCAGGACCGTTGCCCCTCTCAGCTTTGGGCAGCTGGAGATGCAGGGTCCCCATAAATCTCATCCTGGGACAGGCAGGGGATGTGATGGTGACAGATGAGACCCTCCCAGTCCTAGTCCCCAAGAGGGCAGAGGTGAAAGTTCCATTCTCAGGCATGGGCACCAGGCGATGCACACAGTGCTCGCTGGTAAAATTACTAGGAATGAGGAACTCAGCCTGCAACAATCTTAGCCTTTGCAATATCCCCGGGGATGCCAGGTGGCTGTGGGTGGATGCTGCAGCTCCGGGCGACCCCTTCTGGCCTTCCGTGGGATAGCACTGCATCCTGGTCCACCTTCTCCCCATCCAGGCAGATTTAGTTTCAGTCCCACCCTCCAGTCAATCAAAACTAGAAATGAGTCCTTGGAGGCCCTTCCAGTTCTGCCAGTTGGGCGTTTTATCCTCTGTGATTCACTGTCAAACAAAATCTCACCTCAAACCCTAATACGTAAAGTCTCCCAGCCCTGCGATCCTTAAATCTCACATTCATCCACATCACCTTGAGGAACTTCTTAAGAATCCTGACTCCTGCCCCACACGCCTTCAGATGCTGATGCAGCAGATCTGGCTGGAACCCATGCATCTGCATTTCTAGCAGACATTCGAGAGGGGTGGGCTCTGGCCACAGTCTGGGAACCCCTGTCCCTGGCTCCCACGCTACCTCTATGGAACCCAGTTTGAAAACCACACATCATTTTATACAGGGTAAAATGAAGTTCAAAGAGGGGAGAAGGACCCTGGCCTGAGGTCTCCCAGGACCCAAGGGTCTGAGTAGTGCACACTGGGCTCCCAGCCTCGGTTCTTCCTGAGGGCACCTGATTCCGGAAGCTTGTGGTTAGGGCCGCCGGCTGAGGGCAGGGTTCAGGAGGATCGGTGAGGTTACAGGGATTGGCAGACATGAAAACAGGAAAGGCTGAACTGGTTTAGTGCTTATCTGGGGCAACTAGGCCACATGGGCAGTAGGGATGCAGGTATAGCTGTATCCAGCAGCTCAGGGCCAGGCTGGCTTCATCAGTGTGGTCAGAAGCAGAGACCTCAGGCTGAGCCAACTGAGTCAGGTTCCTTATCCCAACCCCTTCAGTCTGCCTTGACCCAGAGAGTGAGACTCATTCGGTGCAAGTCTGGCCCTCTGCTTCTGTGCCCCAGGTTTTGGGCTTAGGGTATGTGAGACTAGGAGATCTTCCGAAGCCTCCAAGCCACATCCTCAAGGAGGTATCAGACAGCCACAGGAGACTGCTGAGCCAGGGTACGCTGAGAAGGGCCCAGCGGCTTCTCACTCCCTCTGAGCGGGCTCCAGCATCTCCTCAGGGCCGGAGGGGGCCCAGGGCTGTCTTCCCCTGCTCCCGCTGCTGGAACTCCTCATGGGCTCGATCCAGGTCTTCGAGCACCTCCAGTAGGTGAGCAGCTGCCTCTCTGTGCCGGGCCAGGGCATCGGGACTGGCCCCTAGGAGGGGACAAAGAGGTCAAGGGGGCTCGGCCAGGCCGGGGAAAGGTGCCACAACTCACACCCGGCGGCTTTCTTGGATTCCAGATTTACCTTGTGTCCCGAGGATCCTAAAAGGTAGCAGAGCCCACACACACAGCACTCCCCCCACCCCCCAGAAACAGGACAGTGGCCAGGAAGACACAGGAATGTGCTTGGCAAGTGTGGGAGGTGTCAGAGAGGGCAAAGGGAAGGGAATTCCTTAACCCCTTACCTTCTGTGGCCCTGGAGCCCTTTCCTGTGTCTGCCCCCAGACTGGGATCCATGCTGGAATCTTCCAGGAATTTCATCCTGGAAGTTGAGAGGGAGAAAGACAAGGCTGTTCCCTGATTCCCGGTCTTGCTCTCTACCCCAGAGATTCTCTGCCAGTTGGAACAAATCTCTGTCACTGGATAACAGTGATCCTGAGGCCAGGAAGGAGAAGGGACACATCTGAGGTCTGTGCCCATGTCTCTGCGGCCCCAGGTATTGAGAGATGCCAAGATCCAGTTCTGCATCACGGCCACCCAAGGACGTTTTCTCGTCCTCACCCTGAGCCTGTCCCCCAAGTTCAGCTGACATATATGGAAAGGATGAGTAAACGAACAGGGGACACCACAGTGGGCGGCTGGCCCAGCCGGTCATAGGGGGTGAGGTGGGATGAGTGGGGCACCCACCTGAGCTGGTCCCGCCCCAGGAGCAGCTGCCGATACACCGTCTGGGTCTCAGCATCGGGATCCAGGGGGTCGCTCCAGTCCCCCAGGGTGACGGCAAAGTGTGTGCGGCTGCAACCGGCAGCTGAGGGGCACAGTGTCATCAGTAACCCCATCCCATTCCCCTTCCAGAAACTTCACACGGCAGGCTGTCCCCAAGCCCTGCCCTTTCTGCCGCTAAAATCGCTCTTCAAACCTACAAGTTCCTTCGAGCCCCGTGGCCCAACACGGCAGTGCCCCCCCCTCCCCCCAGCATCCTCCCACCATGGGGCCCCAGCCACAGCGACCCTTTCCCGTCCTTCCTCCATCTCCAGCCAGCCCTCCGCTCGCTCACGCCGTCTGTGCCGCCGGCAACACTCTTCCTTACCCCGTCCCTGTCCCCAACTTTGCCACCTAACTCCTCCTACTCTCCTCTGGTCACATTTAAGCAGCACCCACTCCAGAAAGTCAAACTCCTAGCCTGGGGTCAGGTCAAAGGGATTCTCCGGAGTCTCGAAAGCCTCATCTTGGCACTTGTGAAGCCATGTCACAAGTGTCTGGTTATTCAGTTGTCTTCCTTGACAGCCAGCCTGGCACAAAGCGGGTGCTTACAAAAGAATGCCTCGCATTTAACAGCGCCATGTGCTAGGCGGTGTTCTAAGAGCTTTGCGTCTATCAACTCATGTAAACCTCGCAACGGCCCTAGGAGGTAGGCACTCCTCCCAACCCCATTTTCACACCTGAGGAGACTAGGAGGGGTTAAGTAATTTAAGTAAGCTATACCCAACTTTGCATAGCCAGCCCCGGGGCCACGATGGGACCCCCGCTGATTGGCAGGCGGGTGGGGCGGAGCCTGAGTCGGCACTGCCCCCTCACCTGAGCGCTCCGTCTGGAGACAGCAGGTCCAGCGCGCGCTGCGGAAGGCACCAGGGTGGCAGGAAGCCAGCTTGTCAGGGTTGTGGGCGCTGGCCTTGCGCAGGGCGGACAGCCATTGGTTCAGCTCGTTCACATTCTGCAGGGGGTGGGGGGGGCGGTCAGGGGTGGGACCCAAGGGACGCCCTCGGCTCTCCATCCTTGTGGTAGTTCACCTTGCACTGGAGGTAGATGGTGCGCCGTGTCCCTGCGCCGTCCTGCGTCACCACCTGCATCACGTGCGGTAGCTGGAAGGCGCCCTCGTCCACACGCTCCACCGCGCGGATGTCCGACACCGGGATGGTGGAGCGCGTCTGGGGGAGAGGACGGTCACTGCAGGGTGGGCAGGAGGCAGGAGACAGGGGGCGGGGCTGGGGACAGGGGGCGGGGGCCCAGGGATAGCCTTCCTCTGGGTATGTGCGTCAGGTGCTGTCCCTGGAGTTGGGGACATTCAAGCTCGTGTATCTGTGATCTGCGTGCATATCCACTCAGCTGTTCCATGAGTCCCGAAGTCCTGCCCCATCACTGGCTATGTGACAACTTCTCTGAGCATTGGTTTCCACCACCCCTATCATCTTTGTCCTCATCATCATCATCATCATCGTAACCACCGACATGGCACTTGGGATGTGCTTCTAAGCATTTCACATTTATGAACTTATTTCATCGTCCCAGCAACTTTCTGAGGCTGGGTCTATTATTCTTCCCAATTCGCAGATGAGGAAACTGAAGCACAAGAGGATAAATGACGCTCCCAAGGTCACGCGTCTGGTAGAGCCAGAATTAGAACCCAGGGAGTCAAACTCTAGAATCTATGCTCTGCTAACAGAGGAGAGATAATAAGTGTGGGCGCCCCCAGCAGTGCCAGCGCTGTCATCTGTGGCGCATACACGGAAGTGGGTAGATCCCAGTCTGTTTCGGTTTGTGCTAGATTTGAATGGCAGCCCCATGAAAACGGAGATTCTTTGACTTGTTCACTGCGCTATCTCCAAGCCTAGAACACGGCATGGTACAGAGTAGGCACTCGATATGTTTGATGAACAAATGAGTGAACGAATGAAGGCCTGGATGTATATGCCTGACAGCGGGCATGGGAGTGAGCAGATCCAATTTGATGTGGGTCCTTGGTATGTGGGCATAGACTTGGGTGGGAACAGCTAAGGAGACTTAAGCATCGCCCATGCCCTGTGCGTGACTACCTACGTCCAGGGGGGTGTGTCCAGGCCACTCTGAGCGCACGCTGTGAAGGACATTTGATGGTGAGTGCATGCACGTGTATGACTGTGCTTGCCCTGGGCCCGCGTCGGCCCGAGGGTGTGAGCAGAGCCTGGCCTGAGAGTTTGGACTTGCCAAGTGGCTACGGGGCCATGAGCAAGTCCTTGCCCCATCCTGGGTCTCAGTTTCCCCCTGGGGTGCAAAGAGGCCGCCACCACTGGAAACCCCTCCACCGCGGAGTGGAGCCCCACCTGCCACTCGGGACTCTTGGAGTACGAGAAAGTCTCCCCGCTGAGCCAGAAGTAACGCTTCTTGAAGGCAAAGCGTGTGGCCAGGCTGGCGGGCTCCTCCTTGCGCTTCAGCAGGTAGCCCTCTCGGACAGTCACGGAGGGTGGGACCAGGGCCCTGGCCGGGCCCTCAGCCTCTGGGAACGGGGAAGGGGCACAGTGAACGCTTCCTGTCCAGGCTCAGCCTGCCCTGGGGGCGTGCGTGGACGAGCGAATCCTGCCAGAGGCAGGAGGATGAGGCCACTACCTCCACAGGGAAGGCATCTTTGAGGACTCTCTCCCACCAGAGGGACTTGCAGGCAAAGGCACAGGTAGCCAGCAGGGGGAGCCACGCCCTATGGAGTCGGTCCAGGGACCCACCCCAGAACCACAGGGACCCCGCCAGCCACAACCAGGGCTCCACATCTCCACAGGCTGCTCCTCTGTGACTTGGATCCAGCTATGTCACGACCTGGGCCCCACACTGTAAAACGAACTCAACCCCAGCTCCTCTGCTTCAAACTGTCCCGTGGCTCCACTTCACTCCAAGTCAAAGCCAATCTCTTCCCAGACGCCTACGAAGCCCCAGACGATCTGGGCCCCTCGCCTCTCCTTCCCTCCCTCTCGTCCGCTCTTCTTCCCCAGGACCCTCGTGGCCACCCTATCTAAAAAGTTGGACTGCCACCCCCGCCCCAACGGTCCCTTCCTCCCTTGATTTCTTTCTCCTTAGCATTTATCACCCCCTAACACACTATATGATTTGCTCATTTGTTTGTTTACAGCCTGTTGTCTCCACTGGTATAAAATTCCCATCGGAGCAGGAGTTTCTTCTGTCTCGTTCACTGCCGTTTCCCCAGCACCTGGAACAGTGTCTATTACGTAGTAGGCACTTAAGAGATATTTGTCGATTGCATGGATACCATGCCACGGTCCCCACCCACATCTCCGCGTTGGCTGAAAAGGCACAGTAGGTGGCAGAGAATGTTAGTTGACTGACTAGCTGACCCACAGTCTCAGTGCTTCGAGGTGGAGGAAGCGGGTGGAAGGGCAGGTCCCAAGGGTCCAGTGGAGTGACGAGCCAGATGTGGCAGGGCCACAGGAACTCACCCTCCTCCCCATCCACGTCCACCAGCTGGTCCAGGAAGTCCCTCACACGTGAGATACTCTGCAGCAGGAAGGGATGCAGGGGGGCCATCCACATTTCCTTGCCCTGGCCCAGCTGCTGGCCCAGGTTTCCAATACTCTGCACGGCCTGGAGCAAAGGAGCAGAGGGTGCCAGGGCCAAGGTCACTGCCAGGGTGGGGAGGCCTTCTGTGGACCTGGCTCCCGGATCAGTCTCCAAAGAAGACTCATTGCAGCACCTGCTTTGGGCAACACCTGTCCCTCCCCGTGGACAGACATGCACCCCAGGGCCCTTATTATTCTGTTCCCTCCTGAGCCCAAATCCCCCCCCGACCGGGGACTGTCTGATCTGATCAGACATACACTGGAGCCCATCAGAACCTCAAAACGTGGCCACTTTGCAAAGGATGGTCTAATTCACACAAAGGTGTAAATGACTACTAGCCTGCTCCCCACTTTCCTTCTGGAAGGGTAAGGTTTTTGTTTCGAAAGAACTTAGCATAATGAATGCCTTCACACTCAGGAAGCTCACGTGGTATTTCAGACACAGGTTTCTCTGGGTCTCATTGGGGTCTCCCGTGGGACTGTCCTCCCAGCTCTTTTCTTACCAGGCTTTACCCCGGCTAAGAGCACCCAAGATGGGGGACTCTGCTGCTGGCACCTTGGCAAGCAGCAGCAGTGAGCGGCCGGTCTGGGGATCTGCGTGCTGGTCCCGGAGGTCAAACAGCTTTGGCGTGAGGATGGCAGGCGCGAAGAACCGCAGGAAGAGAAAGCCACTTACGGCCAGGTGCTTCACATCCTGCCGAGAGAAGCCGCTGGTGAGAGGAGGCTTCCAAAACCCACTTCCCAGTCGGGGAGATCGAGGCGGCAAGGACTACACGCTGGGGACGCACGGGGAAGGAAGATGGGAGATGGGTCGGGAGGCCGCCCTGGGCTGCCAAGGAGGCTTTTCCTTTCTGGGCCTCAGTGTCTCCACCTGGGAAATGTCGTAATAATACCGATCTTACGTGATTAGATTTAACCAAACATCCTCAGAGCCTGCTTTTTACTGAGGACTCAGCTAAAGGCACAGCCCCGTGAAGGAAGCACCGACATTAAACATTACTCCCATGTTATAGACGAGGAAGCAGAACTCAGAGATGTCAAGCGACTTGCCCAAGGTCACACAGCTGATAAATAAAGGAAGCAGGATTCAAACCCAGATCTACAGTTCATGATAATAAATAGCAGCGGGCCAGATACTTCTCCGTACATTTATTTATTTACTTCTAATCCTAGGAGGTATTATATATCCCTTTTACGGAAGAGGCAACTGAAGCCCAGAGAGGGAAGGTCACTTGCCCAAGGCCACACAGCTGTAAGTGGCAGAGCCAAGATTTGAGCCCAGGCAGGATTTGAACTCTCAGCTCTCCACCACTCTCCCTTGCATGCAGCACTAGCTACTGTGGAGCACTCACTGAGTGTCAGAAACTAAGCCTGAACTATCCCCGTTTAATCGCAAACATCCCACGTAGATGCCACTATCTCCATTTTCCAGATGAGGAAATTGAGGCTCAGTAGTGAACCCCGTTCGGCTGGCTGCAGAGCCTGTCTCATGTGCATTCCCAGCCCCAGCCTCTGCCTACTACAAACTGTAAAGTACAGTGCCTATCCGTGTGTGTCCCACGCCTGGCCATCTGCCGGTAAGGCTAGTTCCCCCAGCTCCAGCAGAGGGAACTCAAGGAGAGAGTGTGCCGCCATCCTGGGTGCATCTGGCTCCCCCCAAACCACTCTCCACTCGCCTCTCACACTCACCCAGCTATGTTTAGCCTGAGAATGTGTTCTAGTGTTTATTTAGGGGTTGTATTCCCACAGGAAACAATACCCTCCCCGGGGGTGTGCCAATTCCCTGGGCCACCTCTGCATTGACAGTGCATCCTGCCAGGGGCTGGGTACCTAGAGCTTCTTGGAGGGAGAGGCTCCTCCCCCATCCGCTCATCTGGAACCCTGAACCACCTCTAAGGCCACCGAGGACCTCCCGCCATGTTCAAGGGTAATTTTAGCCTTAGGCATCAGCCCGTGACTTCCTCCTTTCTTGCAAAGGAAGAACAGGTGTGAGAGAGGCAGAGAAAGGGGCTTCCCTGGGTGCTCCTGACCTCATCCACCCTCAAGAGCCTGAGAAAGTCCCTGCTCCCTGCCCAAGGCCTCTGCCCACCCTGGGGGCTGAGAACTGGAAACACTTGGGTGTCACTGATATTGGCTCCCCCCACAAGGGCCAGATCGTCTGAGGAGCTGTTCTCCCCCTTCTCTTTGCTCCTCCCTGCCTGGGCTGTGTCCCACTTAGCACCTCTCCTGGCAGCCCAGGCGTGAGCCTGACAAAGTGGGGCATAAATCAAGCTACATCCCAGCTTGGAGGCCACTCCTGAGCAGGGGCTGAGTGGGGAGAAGGGACAGACCCCAGCTGGGAGTCCTGAGACCATGGTGTGAGTCCACAACCCACGGCCAAGGCTCTTTACCTCAGTTTCCCCATCTGTAAACAGGAAGCGGGGCATGATGTGGCATAAATCGAGCACTCTTAACCCGAGCTCCAGGGATGGGCCCTAAACGTCATATCTAAACGTTACATCTCCAACATTAGGATCTTAGATCTTTCTGCAGAGGGAAGCCCAGTCGGCATCTCTGTTACATCTGTGCCACATAAGTTAGCCTCACTCTATGTCATTCATCAGCAGGCGACAGCCACCTCGGAAGGCGTGCTGAGCATAAACCCGGGGTTCTCAAATTGGTAACCCACAGGCCCGTC